CTAATGTTAACATGACCCTCAGTCATAAGCTTACCATTGACACTACTCCCTTTCTTTTTTGGCAAACTAGTTTTCTTATGATTGGCCGCGACAATCTCTTCTCGATCTAGCTGATGACGATGCCTTTTTTTTCAATAATTTATGGCCCTTTAATTTAGATGGGTTAAAATATTAGAACAAAATTCATTTCAACTTACCGAAGTTAGAGATGTTTTAGAAGATTTGGTTTTAATACTTGTGTCGCTCAATTTTCGGACCATAGTTTTTCCGTTTTCTACTTCTATTATTCTTGTTTTATTTTTATAATTGTCACAAATATCTCTGATACGACTGAATACAGCCTTAGGGTCAGTAACATTTATGAGACTTATTTCGTTTATACGATCCGCTAAAAATTCGTCAACTATACGATATAAATGATGTTTTCTTTTCGGGGCCTATTCTTTTCTCCCAAGCTTGAGCAAGAAGGGCCGAATCAAGGTGTTCCCCATTTTTAATAGACTCTAATTTGTTCTGTGAGCAAATAATTACTATGTTAATTTTATTAATTTAAAAATAATGTAGGTACTTACTTGTAGCCAGGTCAACTTGAATTCCTCATTAATTCCGGCTTGAACAGTGTGTTTTTTTGGATGTAGCATTTTCAAGACGTTTCCGAATTTCAACGTTGACATAGTAATTGAAAAATCTTCTTTTTGTACTTTGATATGACCAAGGAATCTTAAAATTATATAACGCATATAAGCTGTGTGCGTGTTGTTAAGTGATTCTTACCTCATATAACTTTCGTTTGACAAATCTCCGGCCAAATAATAAATTAGAACATTCATCCTTTTATTAACCATTTTTTTTTGTTCTGAAGGATTTTTTTCTAGTAAGAGAATGAAAAGTTCCAGATTAAATTTTGTAATATTTGCAGGTCCGATTCTTTGGGCTGTTTGTGCGGTTCCTTTGATTTTTTAGTTGTAACGCAAATATCGTTTCCAACCAGATCGATTATGTGCAACTACAAAAAATTCTACCACAGTTAAATAGGAATAAGTAGAAAATTTTATTTATTTCACTCTGGAATGAAGAATTGTGGGATTTGTCATATCCATGCTTTTCTTGATAATATGAAATGTCACCACGCTGGTAGCCGAATTCGAGGGATATGTACTTGTTGTACTACAATTTTTTTCGACCTTCAGCTGAAATCATATTTAATAAATAAATAAATAAATAAATATTTTTTTAACGACAAGTATCATTTTGAAATGTTTACAAGAACAATATCTAATAATAACTTTAAAAAAAAAAATTAATAATTTAAACAGTAATAAATAACAAGGAACATTGCAAAATAGGATTATTCTTAAGCTACTTTTATCACAAGTTTTTTTTTTTTTTTAGGTAAAACGTAAAAACCCACGGAGTACAATAAGACCATTAATAAAAACAAAAAGATACTAAAAAAAACACAATACTACAATAATAGTTGTTGCAACACTGACATTCTTTTTTCAGAGAAATTTAAACTAACATTAAAAAAATCTATGTTCAATCTTCCAATGATATTGTTAGCCAATCTACAGAATCTTGAGATGAGGGAATTTAAGCCATAGTTAGTTCGATGACGTTTGATATAAAATAGTCTGTTTGTTCTAGCGTTACAATTTCTAGGTACATGAAAACCAATATAGACCAGGGCAGATAAATTTTTTCGTAACATAAAATTTACCAGCAAACCCCCATCGATGCAGTATTGTTAAGGATCATTCATAGATGCTAAAAACCAAAAATGCACATCTAATTACTTTTAGGGGAATTTTATAAAAAATATTTAGTGCAAAAATAGGGCTTTTTTTTGTTTATTCCACTGTATTTCGAAAACTAATGATCGGATGGTTTTTCTACTCTGTCAATAGTTTTAGAGCATTGAACAAGCTTTAAAATGAGCCATCATACATCCCTGTAGGTCTTTTAGTCTTCGAGAAATGATTTTTTTCCCCCAAAAAAAGAGATTTTCGTAAAAAATTCCTAACTTTTTTAATTTTCATGCTAAACCTAAATTTTTTACACATACTTACATAGTAGATGAGGCAGGCTTTATTGAGTCCAAATTTGGGCCCGGTCCGATGGGTCATTTCGGCATAATACCCTTGTGAAGCAAAATGGGAATGTTTCTAAAACAGTCTGTCGAATTGAAGATAATTTTTTTATATTTATTTTGAAAAGTCTACTGATAAGTCGAAATGCCAAACTATCGATCCTCTATCTCAGATTTTCCATTTAATTTTTTTTTCGCAAGTAAAACGGCTCCAAACATCACTGAAAATGGGACAAAAATGTAACTTGCTGGGGCGGGGGGAAGCTCGTTGCCTACTCCGTTTGAATTCCCGCCGATTTTTTCCATTTTCAGTCATGTTCGAAGCCGTTTTACTTGCGATAAAAAAATTAAATGGAAAATCTGAGATAGAGGATCGATAGTTTGGCATTTTGACTTATCAGTTGACTTTTCAAAAAAAATATAGAAAAATAGACCTATCTCGTATGATTAGAAAAAGGGGGCTTAATTGTAATAAATACAAGTTAGAAAGCAATAAAAGATGACATGCGCGCGCAACTCGTAGGCTGCAGTGTAGCCAGATTGTATTGTTGCAGAACAAATGTAGACAATACAAATCGAACATTATAACATTAAAGAAGTGATATAGTGTCAAGGGTTTTACAATGCCCTAAATCAGACAAAAGAAGAGCTTTAAAGTGGATGAACATCGTTTGCACTTTTATTTTGATAAATGTTTCATCCGGCAACATTGCTCAATGAAATTGCAAAGGAATATGTCAAGTATAATCTAACATAACCTTAAACGAAACTGCGGTGAGTTCAAGTAATATGTAAAGTATTAGTTTGTTCCTTGTCAAATTACACGTTACAAAGAAAGAAGGAACGATTCATTCTGAACTGGCCCCTGAATAAGAATATGACGCAAGCCTGTCACAAACTTGCTTCTCATTGGACGCTCACCTGCAGCCTACAAGCGACGCGCGCAGTCCAGGTAATAGGAGATCGGTCTATTATCCTCAATTCGACAGACTGCTTTAGAAACATCCCCATTTTGCTTGACAAGGGTATTATGTCGAAACGACCTATCGGACCGGGCCCAAATTTGGGCTCAATAAAGCCTGCCTCATCTACTATTTATGTGTAAAAAATTAATTGTCTAGCATGAAAATTGAAAAAGTTAGGAATTTTTTACGAAAATCTCTTTTTTTTGGGGGGGGGGGGGGGAATCATTTCTCGAAGACTAAAAGACCTACAGGGTTATATGACGGCTCATTGTAAAGCTTGTTCAATGCTCTGAAACTATTGCCACAATAGCAAAACCGTCCGATCATTAGTTTTCGAAATACAGTGAAATAAACAAAATAAAGCCCTATTTTTGCACTAAATATTGTTTATAAAATCCCCTAAAACTAATTAGTTGCATTTTTGGTTTTTAGCAACTGCTATAAATGATCCTTAACAATATTGCATCGATAGTTTGCTGTTAAATTTTATGTTAAAATATTGCTGTTATTTGGCTAAGTGCTTTGGACTAATAAGTGATAACAGATCCGGTGACTCTATGTAGGCCAGGGCAGATAGATTTTTTCGTTACATTAAATTTAACAGCAAACTATCGATTCAGTATTGTTAAGGATCATTTATAGATGCTAAAAACCAAAAATGCAACATCTAATTACTTTTAGGGGATTTTATAAACAATATTTAGTGCAAAAATAGGGCTTTTTTTTGTTTATTCCACTGTATTTCGAAAACTAAGGATCGGATGGTTTTGCTACTCTGGTAATAGTTTTAGAGCATTGAACAAGCTTTAAAATGAGCCATCATACAACCCTGTAGGTCTTTTAGTCTTCGAGAAATGATTTTTTCCCCGGCTCCAAACATCAATAAAAATGGAAAAAAATTTAATTTGCGTGGGCGGGGGGAGCTCGCTGTCATTCCGTTTGAATTCCCGTCAATTTTTTCCATTTTCAGTCATGTTCGAAGCCGTTTTACTTGCGATAAAAAAATTAAATGGAAAATCTGAGATAGAGGATCGATAGTTTGGCATTTCGACTTATCAGTGGACTTTTTAAAATAATTATACAAAAATTATCCTCAATTCGACAGACTGCTTTAGAATCATCCCCATTTTGCTTGACAAGGGTATTATGCCGAAACGACCCATCGGACCGGGCTCAAATTTAGGCTCAATAAAGCCTGCCTCATCTACTATATATGTGTAAAAAATTAATTGTCTAGCATGAAAATTAAAAAGGTTGGGAATTTTCTACGAAAATCTCTTTTTTGGGGTTAAAAAATCATTTCTCGAAGACTAAAGGACCTACAGGGTTGTATGATGGCTCATTTTAAAGCTTGTTCAATGCTCTAAAACTATTGCCAGAGTAGCAAAACCATCCGATCCTTAGTTTTCGAAATACAGTGAAATAAACAAAAAAAAGCCCTGTTTTTGCACTAAATATTGTTTATAAAATCCCCTAAAAGTAATTAGATGTTGCATTTTTGGTTTTTAGCATCTATAAATGATCCTTAACAATATGGCATCGATAGTTTGCTGTTAAATTTTATGTTAAAATATGGCTGTCATTTCGCTAAGTGCCTTGGCCTATATGATATTATTTATGATTTTGTATAGAATACATGTCTTGCTGATCTCTTCTTTGCTCCAAAGTTTGCATGTTTAGAAGGGATAAAATGTCATTGTAGTCAATATAGTCATAATTGATATTCATTCTAAATGCGATTTGTCTTGAAAATTTTCTTCGAACTCGCTCTACTGCATACTTTTGATTTTCGTAAAAGGGAGACCAAACTGGACTGGAGTATTCTCGTACTTGCCTAACAATTGCAGAATATGCATTTCTCAGGGTAAAAATATTATTAAAATCTTTTAAATTGCGCAATACAAAACCCAATAGCCTCATGGCGTTATTAGTAATCCTATCTAGGTATATGCTCATGAAAATTTAATTCTACATCTAAGAACACCCCTAGATCTCTAATAACATGCACTCTTTCTAGAGTAACATTATTGATGGAGTAGTTGAAAATGAAAGGATTTTTTAGACGACTAAAAGACATTATTTTACACTTATCGATATTTAAAGAAAAATTATTCGATTCGCACCATTCAAAAAACCCATTCAGCTCGTTCTGAAGTGTATCACAATCCTGCAAACCTTGAACAACAATAAAAATTTTCATGTCATCTGCAAAGTTTAAAAATTTACAACTTACAAAGTTTTGTGCAACATCATTCAAGAATAAATTGAACAAGAGGGGAGACAAATGCCCGCCCTGGGGGACTCCTGATATAACCTCAATTACATCAGACAGATAGTTTTCAATTTTAACCCTTTGTTTTTTATATGAAAGATAGTCGATAAGCCATTTAAAAATTTCCCATGAAAGCCCAGTGCTAACAATTTCCTTGAAAGGATATTATGATCGACTCTGTCGAAGGCCTTGGAGAAATCGGTATAGATGACGTCCACCTGATACCCCCCCTCCAAGGCATCCAACAGGACCCGCTCAAACTCCAACAAATTTGAGGTGGTTGACTTGCCCTTCATAAAACCGTGTTGTTCTGGTGTAATTAAATGTTTAAAAAAAGGTGTAATTTTGTCAGTTATTATAGCTTCAAAAATCTTTGAAAAAATAGAGATTTTGGAGATTGGGCGGTAATTCTTGACATCACAATAATTGTCACCACTCTTGAATATTGGAGTTAAATAACTCAGTTTCCAAATATTAGGGAAGGTCCCAGTTGATAGCGATTTATTAAATATTTAAGACAAAATAAGAGAAAAAACAAATGCAGTTCTTTAGAAGACACACAGGAACACCATCTGGACCACATCCTACATTTTTAAGTTGATAAATCTTGTTATAAACATCTTTAGGTTCTATTATGATATCACCTAGATTGACAGAGAGCTCACTAGA